TTAAACTGCACTGCATAAATTAATATAAATTAGCCGTTATTGTTGAGATCAGTAACATGATACATTCTGTAATTCTTTTATTCTGAAGAGAGGGTCTCCTGTATCCCAGGCTGTCCTTCAACTTGCTATCAAGTAGTCAAGAAGAACCTTGAAATAGTGCTGTGATAAATATGGCAACATAGGTCACTTCTCCCATCCGCAACCCTACAGTCCCAGTGAATTCTTGAGAAATAGCAGAAAAATTCCTGCAGAGGAGCATCCAACAAGATACTTCACTTCAGAAACTGTGGAGGCCACTGCAAACGAAGTCAGCTCAGGCAGGAGGGACCTGAGCGCTGCGACAACAGAGTGCTATGTGGTGTCCTGGAACAGACAGAGAATGATAGAGAAACACTATGGAATATTGCGTAAGTGGGTGAGCTTCGTGTGTGCATTATGTGCACATGTGTGGTACATGCAAGTGCTTTTACCGTCACAGCCATAACCTCAGCTTATGGATTTTCTTTTTTCCTTTCTTTTTTTTACCTCGGAGCTGAGGACCGAACCCAGGGCCTTGCACTTGCTAGGCAAGTGCTCTACCACTGAGCTAAATTCCCCAACCCCTATGGATTTTAATTAATGATACATTAAGACAGGATCTTTATCACTCAGTTCCTGTCATATTCCCTAGCCACTGCTAAATTATCCTTGCTCAGTAAATAACTCCCATGCAGGCAACCCTAATTAAATGCAATGAGCTTTCCCTCCCAATAAAGTCCCACAAAACAAAACAAAACAAAACAAAACAAAACAAAACAAAACAAAACAAAACAAAACAAAACAAAACGACATGAAAATAGCTGACAGGACTTGTCAGAAAGGAGGGGGAAAAGAGAAAAACGGGGCAAATATGATCAATATTTACTAAATTGTAAAAGAACAAATACATGATTAAAAAGATTGGCTTATTAACAAGGGCCTCCTGCTTGTCTTGTTAATAGAGAAAACCGGGTGCAGCATGTTTTAAGAGCTTTCTGGGCTGTCACTCACTGTCATTTTTCTACGGAGCTGTCACATCCCTCTGAGACACGAACAAGTACCCTGTAGTTGGAAGGGGAAGTAAAAGGAAACAGAACTAACACTCACCTGGATTCACTTCAGAAGCCAACTCCCCTGCTGACACCTGCCGAGATGGCACCGGGACATAATTCATAGTTAAGGAGGCACAGTCAGACCAGAGTCCACGTGCATACACTTTATAGTTGCTCACTACTCTACAGAGATGCTCACACAGCCTGACCTCATTTTCCCCACAGAGAGAGCTCACATCAAGCAACGAAGACACAATCCCAGGTGAGAATGTACCAGTTATCCGGGTACTCACGGCACAGATGTCCATCCTGGGAGGTGGTAGGGTCTCATCATTCAGTTTGTGTCTCATATGCCTCCAGGCTGCTCCAGTCCATTTTCTTTTTTTCTTGAGTTAGAGTCTCGTGTATCCCATCTCTCCAGGAGTTCATCTTGCTTTGTTTTTTTCCTTTCAAGAGCCTCTCCTTTGCATAGAGTCCCCACGGAAGACCGGTCCAGATTTCATCTGAGGACTGAACAATTTTCCATCCAGAGACCGCTTTCCTCTCCTATTCCCGGCACCAGACCCTGAGGCAGGGTTTAAGGTGAACCCTGACGGCTGCCAGGTAGAACCTCTTAAAAAAAAAAAAAATTGTGCCTCCCAGAATGCAACGCTGCACGCTCTGCACGCTCTGCACTACTCACTGCCCCAGAGTCCTCTGGGGAATATTGTCCGAAGTGCAGGAGTTGGCTGTGAAAAGAGCCCGTCATTCTTTGGAGCATTTTAATTTATTCTTTGAGAATTTCATACTTGTGTACACTGTATTTTGACCACATACACTCCCAGCTCTTCATTCCACCAGCATGCCAATCGGACCCAATGGCACTGCCCGGATGCCTCTGGGAAATGGTGTTCACGTTGTGGGCATGCGCAGTCGGGCAAGCTTGAATGAAGCATTTTGTTATGGTGTTCAACTGCCTCCTTTATTTCGTGATATTGTATCATATTAGGAGGGGCTCTGGCCAGCTCCAGCATGGTGAGCGTGGGTCTGGCAGGCGCTGCCTTACTCCTTCACTCCCTCCACCTTGCTAACAACCATTAGATTACATTTCTAGAGCTAGCCAGCCTGGGTCCATTCCCTGATTTGGCCACTTCCTATCCCTGAGGCTGACTACTAATGTCCTGCTGTCAAGTATTGAGGTTCAGCAATCAGAAGCCCCCTTTGGCTCACCTAATTAACATGCCCAATTAAAACTAAACACCTCATTCTAACGGTGTGTGTGTGTGTGTGTGTGTGTTCCCTTTTTACCCTTACAAACTGCCATTTGCCTATGTGCCATGTCTGTCTCCTCTCTATCCAGTGGCAGCCCGTTGTCCCCGTGGGACAACTACCCCTTCTCCCTCATCCTCTGTCTCCTGCCTTTGTCTCTTATTCCCTGTCCTTTGTCCCTCTGGGGCAAATAAATCTCCTTTGTGCTGAGAACTTGGTCTTGGGGGTCCTGCCAATATTTTCCCTTTCAATATTTATTTTATTTTGAGGCAGTTGTTTCACTGACTTCTTCCAAAGCTAGTTTGTCATCGGTATTGTTACAGGGAGCTCACCAGAGATGACTGTTTGGGGGGCTCCACCTCAAGCCCTGGCACCCTGGTACCCCTATACCCGAAGAGTCTGGAATGTTCTGGTGGAAGATCCACCTCAACTCCCCTCCCCATCTTTTTTCCTAAACCTGCCCCTGCAAAGCCTGCCAAACATAGCCCCTCCCCTCAGAGAGGCTCAAGACCACTCCCACAGGGACTATAAGCACATCCCAGAAAACAGACTTGTGGTTTTCTGGGCTCTCATCCTGTCTCCTCTCTGCGGGGCCAGGGGATCACCTGGAAATGCTTTACCCATTAGGGCCTTTTCCTAATTTGGTCTGATTTAGTTTGCTGCATGGGCAGAGAGGCCTATCAGGGTGAAACAAACAAACAAACAAACAAACAAACAAACAAACAAACAAACAAAAACCAAAAACCTTTTCAATGACCACTTGGACACAGTGTATAGCCAATTGAAAGTGTTTATTCCAGTGTATTATAGATCACACTCAAGTGTTCTAGTACCCTAGTGTAGCCCCGTGTATCTGGAACACTTTTTTCCCCCAACACATCCCGACCATAGTTTCCCCTCCCTCCACCACTCCTATTTTCCCTTACTCCTTCTCCCCTCTCCCCCAGATCTACTCCTCCGTTTATCTTCTGAAAAGGGAAGTCCTCCCAGGGATATCTACAGAACACAGCATAACAAGCTACAATAAGAACAGGCACAAATCCTCATATCAAGGCTAGGTGAGGAAAAGGGTCCCAAGAGCAGACAAAAGAGTCAGAGATACCCCCATTCCACTGTTAGGGGTCCCATGAAAACATCAAACTAGCAACTGTTTTATATACAGAGGACCTATGCAGACCCATGAAGGCTCTGAGATTGTCCCTTAAGTCTCCATAAGCCCCGATGAGCCCTACTTAGTTGACTCTGTGGACCATGATCTCCTGGTGTTCTCGTCCCCTCTGGCTCCTACAATTCTTCCTCTCCATCTTCCATGGGGTTCCCTGAGCTCCAAGGGGAGGGACCCATTGGAGAGCTTTGATTTGGGCTCCCTCTCACCTAATATCTCGCTGTGAGTCTCTGCATCTACAACCATCAGCTGCTGGTGATAGCTAGCATCTTTGACGATGATTGGGCTAGGCTCTGACTTATGAGTATATAAGATACCATTAGGAATCATTTTGTTGATTTTTTTCCCATAAGTCTCTGGGATATCCAGCCTCTGATTTCTGGTCCTCCGGGCATGTGCTCCCTCTCAGGTTGGCCTCAAATTAGACCTGTCATTGGTTGGACACTCCCGCAAGTTCTGTGTCTTCACTGCCCCAGTACATCTTTCAGGTGGAACAGATTATAGGTTGAAGGTTTTGTGGCTGGGCTGGTGTCCCAGTCCTACCTCTGGAAGCCTTGCCTGGGTACAGAGGATGAGCAGTTCAGGCTGCAAATCCTCCATTACTAGGAGTCCTTGCTAGGATCACCCTCGTAGAATCCTGAGTTTTTACTCGACTAGGATTCCACCAGTAAATCCTAAATGTCCTCCAATCCCAGTCATCTCTCCCAGTATTCTGTCCCTCCAATACCCTGCCTGATCCCTCTTGTTCCCATCCCCAGTCACCCCCAGCTCACCTGCAAAATCTGTTTGATTCCCCCTTTCCAGGGAGATCTATGCATCCCCCTAGAGTCTTCCTTGTTACTTAGGCCCTGGGTCTGTGGACTGATTATCACTGGCTTAACAGTTAATATCAACTTATGAGTGAGTACATACCGTGTTTGTATTTCTGGATCTGGGTTACCTCACACAGAATTTTTTTTCTAGCTCCATCCATTTACCTGAAAATTCCACAATGTCGTCTTTTTCTAACAGCTGAAAAATACTCTGTTGTATAAATATATCACATTCTTATAATCCATTCTTTGGTTGAGGAACGTCTAAGTTGTTTCTAGTTTCTGGCTATTATGAATAAAGCTGCTATGAACACAGTTGAGTACGTATCTTTGTGGTAGGATGGAGTATCCTTTAGGTATATGCTCAAGAATGGTATAACTGGGTCATGAGTTAGATCGATTCTCAGTTTTCTGAAAAACTGCCATATTGATTTCCATAGTGGTTGTATAAGTTTGCACTCCCACCAGCAATGGAGGAGTGTTCCCCTTGCTCCACATACTTGTCAGCATGAGCTGTCACTTGTTTTATTGATCTTAGCCATTCTGACAGGTGTAAGATGGAATCTCAAAGTAATTTTGATTTGCAATTCCCTGTGGCTAAGGATGTTGAATATTTCTTTAAGTGTTTCTCAGCCATTTTGGTTTCCTCTATTGAGAATTCCCTGTTTAGATTTGTACCTCATTTTTTTCATTTGATTATTTGGTTAGTTGATATCTAGTTTCTTCAGTTCTTTATATATTTTGGATATTAGCTCTCTATCTCATGTGGAGTTGATGAAAATATTTTCCTATTCTATAGGTTGTCATTTTGTCCTATCGACATTGTCCTTTGCCTTTTCAATTTCATGAGGTCCCATCTATTAATTGTTGGTCTTAGTGTCTGTGCTATGGGTCAGAAAACAGGGTTTTAAAAGGCAGAAACCACATTCTGGTATCTTGCTTTGCAGCTGCAGGGGGGGATTTGCAGAAGTAAGCAGTTTAAGCAGGCAGGTTTTTTTTTGGTTTTTCGAGACAGGGTTTCTCTGTGTAGCTTTGCGCCTTTCCTGGAACTCACTTGGTAGCCCAGGCTGGTCTCGAACTCACAGAGATCCACCTGGCTCTGCCTCCCGAGTGCTGGGATTAAAGGCGTGCGCCACCACCGCCCGGCAAGCAGGCAGTTTTAACAGAAGCTAAAACAAGTGGTTAGCAGAGACAGGTGGAGCTTGTTAGTAGACAAGTGAAGCTTCTATACAAACAGGCAGCTAATTTAAGTGGTAAGATAGGTGGAAGGAGTTCCCCACTAACAGGATGTTTTAACAAAAGCCCAGGTAAGGTAGGTAGGCCATCCTGACCTTTGGTTCCTAGAATAGAGTTGGTAGTTTTCCATGGGATTCCCCATCAAGGAGATTAGATTCTAATTAAACTTGGGACAGCCTCAGCAAGAATACGAGATGGAGGAACCTCTACACTCTCTTGTCCCATCATATTCCCCACTGGTTTCATGTGTATGAGTCAAGTCATGGACGCTTCCTATGATAGAGGGGCATGGTTGGTCCCAAGGACCAGTAGTTTATTGGAGTTTATTCTCTGATGTAATTGGCCATGCAGTTGAGGAGGCAGGGTCCCACTGTTAGCCTGGTCAGGGTAAGAATCCAATGGTCTAGCTAATGCTGACAGTAACATGGTCAGCTATAGGGACTAGCTGAACAGAGACTGAAACCATTGATTTCATGCATGCCTCCTTTCTTCCCTTTCTTTGAGGTTTTCTCTGACCATGGCAAGATTTTTTCCTAATTACACCCGATTGGTTGACATAAAAAAAGCAGGCTTCTCCTAAAGCCACACCTAAGCCTCCTTGTTTTGTCAAGAGAAGATTTAAGCCTCTTTGATTTTTGCAGAACAACTTCTGCTAAGAAGTCTACTTGCTTCTCTAGTGTGGGTATGGAATCGTCTGATATCCCTAAGTTCTGGTCCACTTGTTTACTTAATTCTCTAAAGTTTTGATCACTGACTATGAAAGCCAATGTTCCTGTGGCTGTTGCCCTCCCAGTACTGGCTCCAACCAGGAGCAGAAGAAGAATAGGTACAGCTTGATTTTTCCTGTTGCTACCTGTGGTCCATGTCAAAGTGTACTCTTCCTTCTTCCCTGTTATATAAGTACACCTGGAGCAGGATATGCACTAGGCCACAAAGGGACTTAGTGTTTTGGAATGCTTCTGAGGAGGCACACTTAATGAAACCTTTTATGCATGTCCCC